CTGACAGAGGCTAGGTGTGTGATGGAACTCTGTGCCTCTGACACCACTTACTGAGAAAATGGCATTGATGACATGCCTTTCAGCTTCCTTCACAGCTTGTTGCAAATTCATTTTTGCAGTCAGTCAGCAAAGATTCACAGCCTGCCTGCAGTGCGCTTGATACCATCAATGACTTTTACTAATTTGATTTGCCATCCTGAATACTTTTCTCATCTTTACAAATCCCCACTATAAGACCTCGGTGTATAGTCTGTCATCTACATATGTTGAATGGTAATTCTAAGTCAAGGTGATAGTACCAAAAATTCAGTGTTCTGGCTTCCATGCTTTTATACCCTCCCTCCTTCCTACCCTCCCTCCCTCCGTCTTTCCCTCCCTCCCTCCTTCTCTACCCTCCTCCCTCAATAGTCAGAAACTGTTTCTTCTAGAAAAGGCTCATATCTCTAACAGGTCTTGACACATCTCCAGTAGCAAGCCAGTGCCCTTCCTTTAATCCTTCCTTTCATTCTTTCCTCTCTCCTTCCTTCCTCATATATATCCCAAGGCCTTACAAATAAACTCCCAATTGTATGAAGATAGTGGGTTTTAAACATTTATTTCTGAGTCAAGAGTTCAAAATCATGTTTTCTTTCAACAGTTTAGACTTCCTTAAGTGTAAACACCTTTTGTGTGTGACATGAACATTTGTCATGGCACACAGAGAGTAATATAAATAAGAAGTTACCTTCAAATACAAATTAAGCATCCCTTTTACTTAACAAAAAGAGAGCAGTCTTCAGTTCTGTAAGTAAACGTCCTGAGACTTGACCTGTCAAGAGTCATTTGAAGTGGAGGTGGTGAACAGTTGCCTCCCATTTCCCAGGACAACAGGGACTTGTTAGAAGCTAATGATTTCTTTTCTCCTTGTTTGGGTCCAGACTCTAGCTCATTCTTTTAGGGCACCCTCTGCGAGTAGCACAGAAAGATCAGCTTATTCTCAGCACTTATTCTCCAATCGTGAAGGCCAATGCTGCATCTCACTATTGATATATTTGTCTTTAAAAGTGTATCTAGCAATGTATTTAAAAAATGAACACAGCCAAACCAAGCTCAGTGCAAGCTTAGAGGCTGACAGGCAATCAAAGTTACGTGTAAGTCTTACTATGGATTGGTTTGTTTTCAGGCCATGAAATTTTTTCAGTTCCAATACATGTGCTGATTAAGAATGAATTCTTCTCTATGAAGCTTTAAGCACATAAAACATTCCTCCTTTACCTTCTCAGTGAAAGCCAACTGAATTTAATTCACATCGATCTTCAGTTTCACAGCTAGAATGTAAAAATATGATGAGGATGTTCTGAAGATAAATTTGCATCCCTGACTTCTACCTGAGGTTTACTTGCTGTGATGGTTCATCTTCCTGGCCAACTTGATTAGTTAGAATCACCATGGAAACACATCTCTGGGTGGCCCCTGATGGTGTTTCCAGGAAGGGTTACTGAGGCGACCTACCTGAATATGTGTAGGGCAGGGGTCCTGGAATGACTCAAAAGGAGAAAGCAAGTGGAGCATGAAGATTCATCTTGCTCTGCTTCCTGAGTGAGGGCCCTGGGTGGCCAGCTGCCTTGCATGTCACCTGTCATGCCTTCTCTGCTAGGATGGGTTGTAACTCCTTGAACCAGAATAAACCCTTCCTCCCTCAAGTGGTCCCAGCTAATGAGATATTATTTACATTAAATATCTTCTCTATTATTTGACCCAAAGTAATTACTTTGGTCAATGATTATTTTTTGGTGTGGTACAGAATGATAGCTAACCAACTAACCAGAAAAAAATTATGATATTGAGACCTTGTACATGAAAGTATTCTAATACACTTGATAGAAATTCACACTGTCAGAGTTTTACTTCAGTTCTAAGTGCACAGTGACAGGGAGACAACTATATTCTCCTTGAAGAAGAGAGATAATGTTACTTCAGGGGTCACAACTGAGGCATGTATGGTAACTACACGTTTACAGGCAGTTTTGTGAAACATAGATATCCATAAAACGGTATTGCTATTCATTGCTTTTGTTTTTATTTCCCTCTTGTTTCAGTAATTTTATTCTAATCTAATTCTACTAGAGTGTAGTCCCAATTAAAAAATGCCGAGTATTCTGTCCTCTATTTAAGGTAGAAAGCTACAACAGAATGAAAAATAAAATAAGTCATTTTTTTCCCAAAGAGTCCCTAGCAAGTTCATGTCTATACCAGTTATCTACCATATATCTACCTACTGTTTATCCATCTATATATCCACCTACCTACTTTAGCCCTATGTGGATACACAGATAATTATATCAGACTTGATGTATGAGATAATAATACAATGAGGGATATACAATATGGTAAAGTGCATTGCTCTAAGAAAAATGCAGTACAAAAGTCAACTCACAGTTAGTGAAATATTCACATTGTCTTCTGTATTAGTTATTTTACTGTTGCTGTGAAAAAACACTATGACCAAGGCTACTTATAGAAGGAAAAGTTTTGGGGGATTATGGTTCCAGAAGGGTAAGAGTTCATCATGGAGGGGAGGTATGGCAGAAGGCAGCTGGAACAGGAACTTCGGAGCTCAAATCTCCAAGCATTCATGGAATCAGAGAGGGTCAAACTGGAGAGTGGGATAAGGTTATATACTCTCAAAGCCTGTCCCCAGAGACATGCTTCTTCCAGCAGGGCCACATCTCCTAAAGGTTCCATGACCCTCCCCGAACAGCATCACCACTGGGGACCAAATGTTCAAATACTTGGAGCCTATCAGGGACAATTCTTATTCAAATCATGACAACTAGGTTCTCTATTTATTTGACCTAAGGTAGTGACCTCAGCTAATGAATATATTTGCTATATAAAACAGTAACTAACCAGTTAATCAAAGAATAGCACAATATTGAGGCCATATATATAGAATTGTTCATTGCAATTTTAAGGAAATTAAAATTTTTGTGGAAATTAGTATCAGTGAGATAAATCATGGAGAATTCTTAACAGTTATTTTCTTGTTTCCAGGATGTAAAGTTACACTGTCTTTTAAAGACTCTCTGGCAATATTTAAAGATATAGTTCAATATCCACTAACATATTTTTATATAAAATTATTTCTGAAATTGCTTTTCAGTCTGAATATTAACTGTCCATTTGGAGAAAAGCTTTAATTTTGTAGTCATGAAAATAACCATCATTTATTGTGGAATTATAGACCAAACCAGTAATAAAAAGCAAAGTTTTGTTATAGTGCAATCCAAACCATCATATTAACCTCTGACATTATTTTACTTAGATATTGAATATTAATTGTTTGATTCAAATGTTCCAGTTTCCTCTATAGTACTATGCACATATATGTATTATGTCCCAATGCAAATAACCCAAGAACATATTTTCTAATCTTAACAAAGGAAAAGGCAGCATTGATCGTGCAAGATCATGAACCCAACTATATTTTTGGCAGTGGCTGGCACTGATGGAATTAAGAAACCTGAGAAGCTCATTTCCTCTCTCAAATTTTTCTAAACCAGGGTCTCACTGTATAGCTCTGGCTAGCCTGAAACTCGCTTTGAAGACCAAACTGGCCTCCATCTTGCAGTGATTCTTCTGCCTCTAATGGCTGCATGCCCATGTGCCACCAAATCTGGTGATTCTTTTCTTTCTTTCAATTTTTTGTTTTTTGGTGTTAGCATCAGGAGGCCTGGACCGTTTTAGACAAGAGCTCTACCACTAAGCTATGCTCTGGTACCCTCTCTATGACTTCTGAACTTTCTAAACCAACATCTTTTGCTTTTCTTGACCTTAGTTTTATACTATTAAATATTTTGTCATCAAAGTAGATAATACTAATAAACAACTGCGTCTGAAATACAGGTATGATGTTAGCCAAACATTTAAGTAGCCATTTAAAATATAAAATGCCATTGCCTTCCATAAATGACTGAAATCATTTCAACTTCTTTTCCTTGCAGAATATGTTTTTAGCATCATTTCTCACTGATCAAATTCCACTCATTTTTTTAAGTTCTGGCAAGCAAATATCCCTATAAAAACATCTACATTATTTCAGTTTGATTGTAATAGAATTTTTGCATGTCAAAACATTTAGTGTTGTAAACAAGTGCAAAAGCAAATATATGAAAAACAAAACACAAGTGCTAAACTGCTGTGATTGCCTAATTATGCTAATGGCTATAACTGGTCATGCCAGGTTTTACTTGGTGCCTATTACATTGAAGCCTAGGGTGCTCAATAAATGCTTGTTGGATGAATGAGTATTTTCAGTTGGGTGTTTCAGCATTATTTCTCTGCTTCTTGCTCCTTCAGGGTGCATATTCTCTTTGAAGGATAAGAGTGTTCATTTTAAAACAAAAGCGAAAGAATACAAGGGCAATTGCTGATGCCGGATTTCTGCTGCTGTAAATAGCTGCCTACTTCCCTTGTCTTGTAAGATGCTCCCACGCTGGTTAACCCGTCATTGGGAAAAACACAGAGGCGCTTTACTTACACTTGGCCCCTTCTATCTTGTGCCCTCTCCAAACGGTCTCCATGACAAGGCTTTACCTATACCTAGAAGCTTCTGTGGTAAGTTTATGAAGCATTTTCACATCAAGCTTGAAATTAGCTCCCAAACTCAAAAATGCTTCATCCTAGAAAGGATAAAAGGTGCTTGAAAAGAAGTGTTTTGTAAAATAGCATGAAACAGACCTCACCACTGGCCATCGGCTGCTTATAATGTTTTAATCAAGGTCTTCTGCCAAATTAGGTCCTTGTCTATCACAATAATTTTTGGAATAATTTTTATAGCGTGGATACATTTTAAAAAGGGACAGTGAATCTCGGTGTTCCTACCGTGCCCAGTGGCAGTTGATAAGTGGAAACTGAAGGAAAGCAACACGTGCAATACACAGCAAGTTGCACAACTCCTGGTTCACTGGGAGGAAGTGAATGGCTCGTCAGTGCTGTTCTGTCACTCTAAAGCTACTTGCCTTGCAAACTGTAGATTTCTCCGACGCTGTTCTGGCGCGTGATGTGATGCCAGTATGCGCTACGTGGAAGTGAGATGGATTTCGATAACGTCATTGGCTCAGTCAAGCTTGTCTGAAGCTAAAAGAGAAGAAAAATGTATCTTAAGAAGACTTCTTTAAAATATCAAATGAAATCCCCTCTTTTCAAATACCAAGGGTTGAATGTGAGTGACAGAAAACAGAATTTGTTAGAGATACTTGTATAATCCCCTATTCAAGGATAGCTTTGTCAAAAGTAAAAGTCAGTACTCAAAAATTTGAAGGAGGGTGCTGTAAGGGAATGGCTCAGTGGGCAAGAGAGCTTGCTGTATAAGCATGATGTCCTGAATTAAAATCTCCAGCACTTACATAAAAAGCCAAGAGTGGCCAGGTGCATTCCTATAGCCCCAGTACTATGGGGCGTGGAGATCAAAGGATCACTGGGGCTTGCTGACCACCACCCATGCTCTGGGTTTAGTGAAAGACCCTGTCTTACGGGAACAGGTAGAGTGTGATAGAGCAAGACACCTGGTATGATCTTTTGGTCTCCACATACAGACATGCACCCATATACTTGCGTGTTCATGCACTACACATATAATCCAAATACTACATAAACATTAACACACACACACACACACACACACACACACACACACACACACCAGAAAAGAAAAAGAAAAAAATGTGAAAGGAATACTTACAGTTTAATGTGACTAATTAAGGGTGGAAAGTTAAGATGGTACTAATGCTTCTGGGAAAATTCCAATGGTTTCTAGCCAAGGGTGAATGCTAGCCAGTACCTTGGGAAGAATCCATTGCAGGCCACATGATTTACATGCTAATTATTTAGAATGATTTGTGTTTCTCAAAGCTTTCTACAATGTATAGAATGCTAAAATCATTCAAGAAATCTTATTTGACATAGCATGTCCCAGAAAGGCACCAAACACAAGAGGCAGGATTCCAGACTTCCTGACACCTCCTCCCACCCTTGTCTAAGGCTACTTTTCTCAAATGCATCCTTTCCTGCTCTTATGAGAGTCCCTTGCACATATTGAATGAATATTGTCTTTGTGAAACTCCATGTTAAGATGGTTGCATATTTTCTTATTTTGAGTGTGCTCTTTGTTGAGGTTAGCTGAAGATTTCCACACCACAGTGCATCATTCTCCTAGGCGTATGATTGATAGAAAGACACGAATGGATTTTATTTATTTATTTATTTTTGGTCTTTTTGACACAGGGTCTCCCTGTAGCCCCAGCTGTCCTGGAACTCACTATGTAGACCAGGCTGGCCTTGAACTCACAGAGATCCGCCTGCCTCTGCTTCCCGAGTACTGGGGTTAAAGGCACGTGCCACCGAGCCCGGCGAAAGATAATTATTTTTATTGATTCATATCAAGTTTAAAAAATCCGTATAGGAATGTTTTTCTTTGATCTTTGAACATGTTTCTTTGTTATAACCCAAGCATGTGTAGACTTTTAGATAGACAATTTGACTCCTTTAATAGAGGAGGATTCAGACTTCTCCCCTTACTGCACGGTGGACTCTGGCAAAAGTGGAAGCTATGAAGACTAACTCTCCTTTAGACTCCCATTGTCCACCCCACCCACTTTTAACACAACACAACTCTTCATCTAGAACTGGATTCAGCTCTTACTACCATCATAGATAATTTCTGCTAGGAAAGTACCTGATCTGATACAACAGGCCCTTGAAATTCACATGAAACTATGTGCACTGATCCCAGGAAAAGCCACATGTATGCTGAAGGTTCTACAAGGCTAATTGACGATTAGGACTTCTGTGACTGTGGAAGTTAGAATGTTGCAGATCCAGATTCATATTGTCTTAGGTTATCTGTATCCTTTTAATTGCCACTCATTGCCCACCTGTATATTGGAGTGACATCTTATGACTATCAGGCAAAATCCTTTTTGGAAATTACCAACAGACACCTTACCTTCCACCATCCCAAAGGTGAAGAATGTCATTGGATAACTTATAGAACTGTAGTAGAGACACTTCTGCTTTATTGTAACTCTCTACCTGATATTCCAACGTATTTGAGATAAGTCTTGATTTGGCACCTTCTGGTACTACAAGAATTTCATGAAATTGTTACCACATTTGAACATGGTGTTTGAATCTGTTTTTCTGGTCACTCATAATTGGTTCCATAATAAACTGCCTCTTACCTCCTTTGAGGTAAGAGCTCTGTTTTTGAATTAACAATTAAAAGGATTTATGTTTTAATTGATGGTGTAGTCAGAATTTGATTATTCTTCTTTAGCTTTGCTTTTTCTAGTGGAGAGGCACTTCTGTCTTGCTACAAGATCATCATACTCAGATGAGGAAGAGCTGATCTTCCTAAAACAAGGGACTCTAGGTAGGCTGAATAGACCTCAGGGGATAGACTTGTACTGGGGAACGGCTGGGGACACTGATTTGACACAGTGGGCGTTAACACAAATGACAGAGTATATGGGTTCCAGGTGAGGGGCTATGGGAGGGTGCCGGTGGGGACAGGGTTGTAAAGGTGATTAAGATTGTTTGAGATGTTCTTTATGAAATAGACAAAAATTCTATAAAAACAAATTTTAAAAAGATCTGGCACCAGAGCAACACTGAAGCTGATTTTTATACATTTAAAAATTTGATATATTTCAAATTTAAAAATTTACTTATTTACAAAGAAAGTACGTTACCCACATCTACATTCCATTATTGGTATGTGTAGGGGACAAGAAGAAATAAAAACTTCTGGGTTATAATAAAGCAGAGCTTTCTGAGCCTATGTGATCTTTGTTAACAATGTATATTTCTTGTCCTGTCTCAGACCTAACAGCTAGAAAATATCTATGTGTAGGGTTACCCAAGCTAACAACACATCAAAAGTGGTCATCTCCCGCTGTTACACAGAAGTAGAGGGAAGGTTCATTTTATGATGGCACTACTGGAAGAAGAGTCTGTTTCGTTTATGAAACATGGGCTGGATTAAAGACCTGAATCTGCATTCACTGTGTGTCAGCAATGTCCATTTACAGCATCGACTAAAATCACAAAGTGACTCTCATACTGACCATAGATCTGCTTGTTGCCTAATTTTTATTCATTACTTAAAAAAATCTACTAATAACTACTAGTAATAAACACATTATTTAACACAAAATATATCTTTCTGAAATTTGATGAAAGTGATTTGCCTTCCTTTTTTAATTTTGGGGAACAATTTTTTCCTAAATGGTCAATCTTATTTTGAGTGCTGAAAACAAATTTCAGGAAGCATCTAGAGAATTCTTCTCTCCATGTACTTTTGTTTTTTTGTAATAATTTATTGAGAATATCATACAGGGACATAAGCATATAAGGTGTTCTGGTCAAATCCATGCCCACACCCTCCCCTTCAAATCCTTCCATATCGCCCCATCACTTTTTTCTGATAACTTCATGTACTCTTTCTTCTTTATTTTATGGGGCTTTTCGCTACTCTAACATCCCCCCACTGAAGAGGTAACCCCAAAATCTTTTAAGGATTGGATAAGAGCTCCAAAATACTTTCTACATTTTTGGCCTTTGGAACAGAGTATGTTGCTAAGAGGTCCAAGGACATTTTGACTTTTAGCCAAGAAGCTGGCCACTTTTCTTTGGGGTCTTTTTACACTAACTGCCTAGCCGATTCCTACCTCCTGTTCTTATCACACCATCCTCTGAGGAGGTTACCCAAACTGCCAATAAGAAATTGGGACACAGACCTCTCTGGCTTCTTCCATACTGAGCAGGGATGAAGGTGAGGCAATTGGGGTACCCCTTCAGTGGGTCTAACTAAAGGACACCCATATTGCATAACCCTTATCTGTAGGGGGAAAAGAAAGTCCTTGACTGGTGAATAGGAGATGTGAAGGAGAAGTAAAGGCAAGAGTAAATTAGCATTACAAGTTCCAGACAGGGAACCAGAAAAAGTCAGAATAGAACAAATTTCAAATGTTCATATGAGAGTCCATTAGAATATCTTGACAAGGGCTTCCAAAAGCATCCCTCTATTGGGATCCTCCTCATTTTCCCTTTGTCTTCCAAGACTGGACTCAAGAGTGATGGATTCAGGATTTGCATTCAGGCATATTGATAGCTGTTGGAGTGGTTAGAATCAGTGTCAATTCCCTCTCAAAGGCAGCTAGATAGGGGGAGAAAACAATAGTGGGTTGTCTCCCTTAGCTACAGGTGGGCACTACAGTATTGGAGACCAAGATTTGACGACTTATATCTGAGCAGCACCTTCTATTCAGAACAAAATCATCAATGAGAGACAATTGTCTAAATAACTTTTTATATGGACTTAAGCCTAATGTCTGAGAAGTGCAATCCCTTGAACTGTTAAAGAAATATATTGATCACTTTATTCTTTGGTTATACTTTCTTTTGGGGTATTTAAGACCATACAATTGACCCAGACAAATCAATTTATATTTACACTTAAGGTCGTTTGTAACAGGGGTGACAGAGTATAAGGGCTCCAGTGGGGGTGGGGGGAGGGTATGGGAGGGTGCCATTTAGAATGTGGGTATATAGATGAATAAGATTGTTTGGGATGTTCTGTATGATATACACACAAAAAACAAATAAACAAATAAAAAATGAATTATATTTGAGGAGGAAGTATAAAAAGTTATGTCATGTTAATTAGTAGAGGTGATAAACATTACCACTGAAATCTACCCGGTGACTTTATAGACATACTCAGGTGCCAAGGATCCGAGTGCAACCGATTATGACTAGTACTAATCAGACACATATAGATTATAGATGCATGCACCAACATCAAAGTGTTAGTAACATTAAAAATGAGTCTTTCTGTAGGAAACAGTATATTTTTTTAAAGGTTAAAACTTCATTTAATTTTATGTCTTACATACAGGGTTTATACTGAGTTTGATATTGTATAGCTGTATTAATTCAGCTGTAAACCTAACAATTTACAGTCACTTTTGAAAAAGATGTATCTTTGCTATGGAAATTGTTATTGAATATGTTAAAGCTGTAATGAAATGCTTCTTCTAATCATGTGATTATTATTATTTTTTTTTTTTAAAAAAAGG